TAGAATCCGTTTGCACGTTCAAACTCGGTGTTAATTGTTTGATGTAAAGCATTTCGTTGACAAGACAATCGAATTTGTTCATGCACTTCTTGAGAACTTTGAAACAGCTAAGAAGGTCCTCAGGGACAGCACCTGTGTGGTCGTTGTCGTAGTGCTTGCGTTCTGAAGATGACGTGCTCTTATGGCTATCGTTCGTTTTTACCTGTCTATGTATTACTAAATCTCTGTTAATACGAATTCTAGATCTCTACAACTGAAGAATAAAAAACTATGTCTAGTTTTGTAAACATATACAGATGTCTTGGAGCCGTTTTGATGGAATTTTTACCCTATTTGACTTTGTGTCTGTTAAAAATAAAAACAAAAACAAAAACAAAAACAAAAACGGAACATGTGAAAGCATGAATAATCCGACTGAATAAGTGTAGTTCATTTGCGTTGATGTTAATAGTGCTACAATAAAAAGTTACCAAATTTTCATTGTTTTCGTGTAACACCCCAGACTAAGAAACATCTTTTGCCTCTTAACTTTCCTACGTTCTTGTGCAATTGAGTGCCCTCGTGTGAACGCCTTGAGGGACTAGTCCCTGCTACCGGTCCCCTCGTGTAAACCCTTCTAAGACTTGTCGCCGGGACTAGTCCCCTCGTGTGTGCCGACCTTTATATTTAAACAAAGATCTCTTACGTGAAGTAATTGCAGCCTCCTTTTCAGCGAAATGGAAATAGAGAAACCCTGAGATACGCTTTGTAAACAATCATTATCAGGAGGTGTTGACTATCCTGCCAAGTTGTAACGCTATGAGGTACCTTAACATCGAGGCTTTTAGGCATTCGCCGCGAACGTCAAGAAGTCACGCCTTGCCGTAAGGTTTGCAGTTTCAGGTTCACGTTTTATACGGTTGGATCACACTCTAGAAGTAAGTGATTTGCCGCAAGATTTTTGCGCCCTAAAACATCAAACTCCCACATTTGAGAGGAAAGAGTACTTTTAAAAACTCTTTCGCTTATTAATTATCGAATTCTTTTTCATAGAAACGCAATTTTGAAGACGATTTCTTAGCTAAAATAGAAGTGAACGAATGAATGAAAACAAACATGACGGCCGGCTATATGTTGTTAAAACTGTTTTGCCAGTTGGATTACTTGGAGATTAAACAAAAGCCAATTTCCGATGATATGTGAGTGCATGAATGCTTATTTTGTTTCCTTAATGGCTTTGTTCAGTTGACCAAGCATACAAAGCTGCTTCAAGAACTAAGAAATCGAGATTTTTATTGCTCGACAACGAACCTTCAGAACTACTATCGTCCAGCTGCATAATGTCCAGCAGATCTTTGTAGTCTTGCCTAATTTAAAGAGGATCCGCAAAGATTTAGTGTTCTGCTCTCAATAAGTAATCAATAAAATCCAACAAACACATTAATCCACATATCACCTTCGGCCAGCAGCCATATTGTTTCTGTACTATTCTCTCATAATTCATCAGTGCTACCACCCGCGAATCTTAAGTCCCAAATATGGGCAGACGGCTAACGTGAAACCGCTAACGGCAAACCGCAGTTTGCCGTTTGCGGTGAGATGGCCAAGCCTCAATCTTAAGGTCTCTATTATGGGAGCAATGCAACAATTTCAGGACTGCAATCCGCTTTCGTGGTATAGCAATATAGACGGTAAGATGATCTTATATTAAATAAGCTGTAGATTGGATGTAAAATGCGAAACAATCGAATTTGCGTGTAAATGGGTATATTTTCGAATAACTGACGGTATCGTCAAATCAGCTCATTTTATCCAACTTTAAAATTTGATTAAATCGCACTGAATCATTTCCCCAAAAAATCCTTGGCAAATCGAAAAGAACCACACTTCACCTTCCAACCCACAATTCCTCCAATCGCTCTGACGAAGGACTAATGCTCATAACGTCATCTCTTTAACTCTTTACGGTGGCCAATTTACAATTTCAACTTAGTTGATATTACCAAATTACCTTGTTAATTGTTACCCCCACCGACACAGCACCACAGTTACCTTAGAAACTTAGCCCCTGAATAACGTGGGCGCGTGCGGTAGGTTTTGGCGTGGAAACTCGGATTTTGAGTCGTTCACACAACTTCGTTCCCAGGTCTCTCATCTTTCCGCCCCCTGTAGCGAGCGGGGGGCGGGAAGATGAGAGACCCTAGGAACGAGGTTGTCGTTCGCATACCTGATCGTCAAGCATGATAGTTTTTGTTTTTTTTACGGATTGTAGTCTTTCAACGGTCGTAATTCAGCTTCGTAGAAATTTTAAAGAATGGTTTGGTGGGGGTCTTAGTTTTTGAAATTACGAAAACTAAGACCCCTAAATTCGCCGTTAAATTTTTTACTAAAAACTCGGTGGAAAGGATCGGACAGGAGACAATTTGACAGATTAAATCTGTTTTGATTACAATTTGACTTTATATTTCGACAGATTCGATTTTAGGGGTCTTAGTTTTCGTAATCTCGAAAACTAAGACGGGTCTTAGGTGTTAGGTCTTACTTTTCGAAGGTCTTAGTTTTTGTAACACACCCCTGAAAAAAGCGTCTGTCGTTTCCGGTTTACTGAGGTTAAAAATAGAGAAAATGTATGACAGAAATTTTGGGGCCAAAAAAAGGTCTGGTAAAGAGAGGATTCCGGTTTAATGAGGGTCCGGTTTAGAGGGGTGCTGAATCCTGAATTCTGAATCCTTTTTTCAAATGAAAAAAATACCAACTCATGTGAGCTAATACATGTTGAGCATTTTGTGCTGAAGTTGCCGCATCAAGACAATAAACAGTCAGCAGGTTGAAAATTATCTTCCTTTTTAAAACCTCTTTGCCCATCAGCGAAGAGGATAAATAACTACAATCCACAAATTTTTGCATCCTTTAAAAGCCTCCGACTTAAATTAACGAGTTTGAGATTAACGTTAACCAGCAAAACCACAAAAACACAAGCTCTGATTTTACTTCTTCCTCGTAATTCTTGGATCAACCCCGCAAAAAAAAAAAAAAAGATCGCAAAAATTGAAAAACCTTCTCCCAGTCTAAAAAAATATCACTTGATAGTTAAATTGATTGAAAGTGGTCAGTGGCAGTTTACCTCCTTTCTTTTTCTTATGAAGTGTAATAGTATTCATGCTAAAAAAAAATTAGTTTTTTTTAATAGTTTCCGTTAAAACAAGCAGCAAATTTCGCCGCAGTTTGACACCAGACAATAACAAATATTTGACAATAAAAGACGTTCGAAGTGAGATCATCAAACAAATCAGGCAAATGCAACAAGCATCTTTTCCTCAGCCGTCTGAGAAAGTCTGCGTCCCAGGTCATCCCGGTGCGAAAGGGAGCCGAGGTCCCCGAGGATGGCAAGGACTGTCAGGACCAAAGGGAAAGAGAAGTGAACATGGAATCATGGGCTTACCTGGAAGTCACGGCAGGCAAGACATCAGGGGGGACAAAGGCCTTGAGGGAGAAAAAGGCGAAAAAGGTAAGCGAGCCGATTTTTCTACCAATTAAGATCACCTGAGACTAAAACAGTAGCTGAGAATCAGACTGCCACATTCTACTGCTCGGCCAGAGGGGATCCAAAGCCTGTGGTGACTTGGAGTAGAGTCAATGGTTCCTCTACGGTTGGGCGCGTCAAAATCAATCAAAATGGCCGCCTTGAAGTTTAAAGTCGAAATTCAATGACTCTAGGGAGTACATGTGTTCAGCAGTTAATGTTCTGCGGAAGGACAGCAGGACTGCAAAGCTTTTCGTTGAAGGTGAGGCAACACTAATGGTGTACAATCCATCACTGTGAGGGGAAGGGGGTTGACAATTGACAGGGTGACCGCTTAATACGGTATCGCTTGAAACAGGTTTCGACTCTATGCTCTTCATTTTGTTTCTTAGGGGGTTTGACGATATCCTGCATTGTGTAGTTAACAATTATGTAACTCGAGATAGCTGTGATCCAACCTGCTTATAGGGGTGTGTTAACTTCCTTTGATTTGAATAGAGCTGAATCAACATACGTTCTAAAGGCTGAAAGTTTCTAAAGAAACTGTGGTGCTGGGTCGGTGGGGTAACAAGGCAATTTGGTTAAATCAACTAAGTTCAACCAAATTACCAACATACGTTCTGCTTGGTGTTCATTATTGCCCCTTGTTCTATCTTTCTTTCCTAAGACTAAGCCCTGAAGAACGTGACAGGGGGTGTGTGAGATCTTTCCTCCATTTGAGGTTATTCTTTGTTTCTATTTCAAATCTTGATTCTGCAGTTAGAGTGTCACTGGCCAAAATAAGGAAAACTCAATTGATCTCTGTACACGAAACTGATTAAATTGTGCCAAACGGTATAATGATATCCACTGACTATGTGTGTATTACAAAAGTTAGGACAAATACCTTAGCTGATCCACTTTTAATTCTCGTTGGAATGAGCCCTCATGACTGTATTCCGTGAACTGAGGGCTTCATTTTTTTAATATTTTTGTTGATTACATCTCGAGTGGCCAAATTACAAATGCTTAAGAAATTCTAGCTATTGTTTTGCTGTTCTTTTTTATCATAAAAAATAATGATTATTTAAGAATTGTTTCATGCTTAGCGTGCGTCTATCGAGTTATGGATGCACGGGGGGAGTTTGGAGAGTACGAGAGAAGAACTCTAGCTTCTTGAGTGCTCTCCAAACTTCCCGCGTGAATCCATAACTCGATATACGCACAGCTGAAAACATAAACAATTTTTTTAGCCAATCAGAAATTCCAAATTTTATCATGTACGCCGTTGGGTGTTCCTGTAAAATGGGATTTTCTGGGAATGGAAAAACGTGTTATTATAGAGGTAAACCCTTTTCATTGTTCTAAATCTGTCAGTCACACTATTTAGAGTCAGTTTGTTAGCTAAGCTATCACTACTTCCTCTCTACGATTCTTGCTTACTTTAATTGATTATATCATCTATTATAAATAGGCTCGCGCTAACTGATCAAAACAATTTATGTCAAAAGCTTTTCGGCTCCTGTATAAAGCTTTCAAAGATATATTTAACGAGGATCGAGAAGATAAAGTAACAAAATGCACAGTTCAAAAGACAGACCAATATTGTTTTGCAACAGCTAAACATCAGTCTCCTTCACTAGCAGTGCGCAGTCGGCCAAGAGCAGTGGACCGGCATTGCAAAGGTTATATTTCAATTCCCATACGGGCCTGAAGTTATTTTAGGCCTTATTTCCACCTACTAGATAAGTAGGGTTTATTACTGCGTGGAACGCTTTCCGTAGCATACATTTCATGAAACTGCAGTACACATACATTATTTAATATATTCAAATTCACTGACTTAGGCCAACAGTTTTCCTGCTTTCGAAAGTCTACACCTACACTGGGATAATGATATCCTGTATGGTCAAACATATTTTAACGCTCTTATAACACATTATCACAACCGAGATTAGTTCGATTTTAGTTTTTTTTTTTTTTATTTGTTGTGGATCATCTTCTGTTGTGGTTTTACAAGCCAATTCTAGAGTTACAAGTCTCGCGCACAGCCAATGTGCAAGTAAACAGATGCCCTTTGTCTGCAGAAAAAAAATACCATATCTTTTCTCATAGACAAGCTATGCACCCCTCTGTGTCACTTCCATGCAGGGGCAAACCACAATGCCGAGGTTGTACAAGAGTTACGAAATACCGCTGTGACAATCTCTCCCACAGCGGATGGCTGCAACTGGGTTTTTTTCTGTTACTGTCAGTGTTCCTTTTCTCTCTTCCATCCGACATTACCTGAGTCTGCTGAGNGTTCGTATCCTCAATTGTTGTTCCTCAAGAAGTTGAATTACCACAAACTATATCTTATTGAAAATGTTAAGTACTAAAAGATTTAAAAGAAAAGAATAAGCGCTTTTTCATTACAGATAAAACAAGCATTCCATGTGTTCAAAGTTGTTGAAAGTCTGCCAATGCGTTTCATTAGGCATCTAATAAGTGTCCAACTGCGGGAAGTGATCTGATTCTCTTGCGGTCGGTGAGAAGCGACCTTTAGCTTGACCTTGAGAATCATGTGCTTGACCATTTATGATACCCCACGGCTATGACAAATAATTAAATCATTTTAATGAAATGACTAGCACAAAAAATAATTATCCTTTACGATATGCCCATTATATCCCAGAAAGACGAAGAAATAACATTAAACTTTCCAGACTTTGTTATCAAAAGCAATAAGGTGATAAAATGTTCTTTCACTGCAGACAAAAATGGCTGGACTCTCATCGCTCGATTCTCGAACAACGATGCAAGAATTGGATGCGTGGCGATGGAAAATGGTGGTATGACCAGAAAACTGCTATCGGAGCGACAAACAACTCTTCAATGAACAACGATACGATCTCAACAGCCTTTTGGTTGGTCAGCGGTAGCGAAATAAAGATCCCGCGTAGTGACGATCCCAGCCACACTCCTCTCTTATAAACCACAAGTAACTGTTCAGGTGGACAAACATTCCGATCGAAAATCACAAGTTATGGCGACTTTAGAAATGGCACAGTTTGGGCCAGTAATCAGTGTCTAGGAAATTGTACGGTTCAATATGGTGGTCAGTACAAGTCAACAGATGGGTTTCAACAGGCTGAGTGCAGTGGAAACATCCAAAGTGCTGACAAAATCGGCTTCTGGTGTGACTGGGATGCTGGTGATGGCTCAGTGATGATAATTGGTGGAGGAGGAAGTAGCTGTGCACGTGCAGATCATGAGATTGGATTCACAGAAACTGGCTCTTCTTCTTTTGTTGACTTAGGAACCAGCCAGACTGAATATGACTTTGGTTATAATGCTCATACAATTACCGCTCCATCCCAGTGCTACTTATGGATCCGTTAAAAATAATCGGCTCTTTATTTTTCAAACTTAGTTTAGAGCTGAAGAACTTTGTAGAGGATGAAATTATTCATTTAATGTCACTTTGTAATGCAAGTTAGATGGACATTTTAAAATGGTCAGTAATAGCGCATCTTTCCCCTCTCGTAGCAAAGTTAAAATAACTTGACCATCACCCCGGCCGAAACGCTTTAAACATCCTATGATCTGTACAAGCAGCAAATTAATTGCTATTAGAACTTTTCGAGAAACTCAACTTCAGTAAAATTCATATATGTCAGACTTACGACTCATCGATCTCCAGGAAATGTGAAGTATTCATTGATGATTGTTTAGTGATATCAGACATAAAATATGCAAGATATGTTTAATCATATATGAGAACGATCCCAGCGCTCTACCAATTGAGCTAACAAGCCAACAGGGAGCAGGCCATCAAATTAATTCGATATAAACCCGTAGATGATAAATCAAACAACAACAAACATATGAAACATATGTGTGAACTGCGGTCATGAGACGTATATGAGAGGTCAGTGGTTCGAGTCCCGTACAGGCCTGAAATTTTTTTCAGGTCTGATTTTCACTATTGCTCAAATAGTGCTTTACTGCGAAGGATCGTTCTCATATACGTCTCATAACCGCAGTTCACACATATGTTTCATATGTTTGTTGTTGTTTGATTTATCATCTACGGGTTTATATCGAATTAATTTGATGGCCTGCTCCCTGTTGGCTTGTTAGCTCAATTGGTAGAGCGCTGGGATCGTTCTCATATATGATTAAACATATCTTGCATATTTTATGTCTGATATCACTAAACAATCATCAATGAATACTTCACATTTCCTGGAGATCGATGAGTCGTAAGTCTGACATATATTAATTTTACTGAAGTTGATTTTCTCGAAAAGTTCTAATAGCAATTAATTTGCTGCTTATACAGATCATAGGATGTTTAGAACGTTGCGGCTGGGGTGATGGTCAGGTTATTTTAACTTTGCTACGAGAGGGGAAAGATGCGCTATTACTGACCATTTTAAAATGTCCATCTAACTTGGATTACAAAGTGACATTAAATGAATAATTTCATCCTCTACAAAGTTCTTCAGCTCTAAACTAAGTTTGAAAAATAAAGGACTGGGATGGAGCAGTAATTGTATGAGCATTATAACCAAAGTCATATTCAGTCTGGCTGGTTCCTAAGTCAACAAAAGAAGAAGAGCCAGTTTCTGTGATTCCAATCCCATGATCTGCACGTGCACAGCAACTTCCTCCTCCACCAATCATCATCACTGATCTGCAGCATACATTTGTCTCTGCGACCCAAAGCATTAATATTTAAAGTGAATCGGCGTTATAAATTATTTACTGCACGCCTTAGGATAAATCGGTTATCAAAAGTAAAGTCACTTTCATGATAAAAAGTGATTCTNGAAGATCATTGTGCGAGATTTTAATACAGGCCAGAGGTTGCTCGTCAAATTGACGCGATAAATAAGAAAGATTTACTCCAAAATTATGAACTACGAGATCATACTCATTCTGAAAACCGGATTCATTTTGGCGTCGGGTCAGGCTTCTGAACTCTTACCCTTGTGACGCGATAACAGAAAAATCCATAACAGTTTACTTTACATCTCGACTGGACGTGTTCTTTATGAAATCAGTTACACAGGAAGCCTCGACCTTTAGCTCAAGTAAACAAGTCGTATCTCGCAGCAGTTGAGTTTGTTCATCAGGGAAGCTGTTCTCTCGAATTCCATTGAAGCTACGATGGACCCTACAAAGAAACCTCCTGCAAAATGCTCAATCGATGCTTTTAACAGAGGCTCTTCGGTTGTTTCTTTCATTTCAGTTCTATTGATTATTTCGCAGAACGAACCGCGCATTTCAGCCGTTGAAAGTCTCATGAAGATGCACGCTTCTGGGGTGGATCCAGGATTTAGTCAAGAGGGGTTCGAAGAATTGTCCAAGGGCATGCTTCCCCGGGAGATTTTGAAAATTAGGTCTTCGGAAAAATGGTTTCCAGCATTTTGAGAGACAATTTATGGGGTTCGACCGAGCCACCCGAACCACCCTTAGATCCGCGTCAGCGCATTAACGAGTAACGGTAAGCAAAAAAACTGTTTCATTTGATTAAAAGAAATTATCTATAAAGTTCGAAATAGATATATTTAGCTAGTATTTAGGAACATAATTTCGCTTCAATCCTTAATTACGGGTCTTTTCCCTGATTAAGACTAGCAAACGGACTTGTTTTCACTGGTTCCTTCCTTGCTAAAACGACTAACCAAGCAATGGTCGCAACGTACATTTTAAGACGGGATCTTTCGTTTGAAGGAATTGTGCTCTCACGGCGACATAATAGTCGAGAAACTGAGACCAATGTCACTGTTTTTCTCATGAGACTTTAGATAAAGTGAGCAATTAAAGGAAGATGGACCACGGTTGATCTCACTGTACATGTACTTCGATTCAACAGGGCTATAGCTAGAACAGAATAAGGGCCTATATTAGAATGAGGGCTCTTATTGGTATAAGGAGGCTTATCAAAACGAGAGTACATTGCTTATTAGATTAGGGTGACCTACTAACAAAAAAAAATCGAGGTTGGGGCGATTATTAGAGAGGGGGACGTACCCGTGTGCAAAGGCTTATGGACTAACAAGAGACCACGAAAATAAGTTAACAAAACAGGAAATTCAATCTTAGTCAGAGGAAACTCTTATATTTTAAACTCAGGAAAAGTTAACTCTGCAATCAAGGTTTAAATGTCACCTGCTAAATTGATACCTGCTAGCCCATTACTGCTCCTCATCTGTTTGTTTTATGAAGAAACATTCGTACTTCATGCAATTTACTGATTCAGGAATAATGAAAATACAACCTTTCCTCAAGGCTACTTATTACAAGTTTCCAGTCAATTTAGGAGCCTGTTTAAACTTAAACAAACAGAGTGCAATGGAAGCCTTCAGAGCGCCAACAAGATCGGCTTATGGTGTGACTGGAGTGATGGTGATGGATCAGTGATGATGACCGGTGGGGGAGGAGAGGAATGTCATCGTACAAATCAAGGGGTTGAAATCACATAAACTGACAAAACTTCTTTTTGTTGAAGAGGGATACAAAGCGACCGAATATGACTCTGCTTTTAGTGCTCACACAGAAAACGCTCCATCCCAGTCCTATTCGTTGAAATTATGGATCCGTTAAAAATGAGATCAGGTCTTAATTTTTCAAACTTAGTTTAGAACTGAAGAACTTTATAGAGGATGATAGTATTCATTTCATGTCACATTGTGTTTAGATGAGTATTTTGAAATGGTCAGTAATGGCTCATCTCTTTCCTCTCATAGCAAAGACAAAATAACTTGACCAGCACCCCAGCCGCAACTCTCTAATCGCCGACAGTCCGTCATCATGGCGGTATACCACAGTGTTATCCGCATACATATTAATGAAACAGTTTTCTAAGCACTGAGGCAGGTCATTTATGTATAAAACAAAAAGAAGAAGCCCTACAATTGAGCCCTGCGGAACACCAAATTGGATGACTTGGCTGGAGAACAAGTCCTTTTCAAAATGTACCCTTTGTGTTCGTGTCGGAAGATAGTCCCGGAACCAATCCAGCGTGCTTCCTCTGACTCCGTAGTTTTCTAGCTTGTAGAGTAAACATTCACGGTCTACTAAGTCAAAAGCTTTTTTCAAGTCAATTAACACAGTGCCAGTAGCTATTTGTCTATCCATGTGATCCAAATAAGATCGGTGAGATAAACCTCAGTCTGAAGTTTCCCTGGAGTGTTTCTTGTGGAAACCTGATCGGTGGATGTACAGTTAAAAAAGTCAAGAATTGAACCTGAATAGCACCCTCTAAGATCTTTGATACTTTGGGAAGGAATGAGATCGGCCGATAATTATTCTTATCGTTCCGTGTTCCTGATTTAAAAATAGTTGTTTTTTGTTTGGTAAAAGCGCATTTAAAGTTTTCCACAATTCCCGCGAGTCTTGTTTATCACTTAACTCCTTTTAATACTAGTTTGGTTTTTCTTTACGAAGTTTCATCGACACAGCATTTCGTAGCCTTTTGTAACTACTCCAGTGAGGCTAATTGCTAGTATGAATAGCTTTCTTGTGATGATAATCGCGCCTTTTCATCAAATCTTTTACAGTAGGTGTGATCTAGGTTAACGATCTCCCGCGCACACGACGGGTGACAACTTGCGCGTTACTATTAGCTACTGACAAAAAAAATCTTAAAAGGATTCCAGGCATCATCTGGATTTGATCCAAATTCAACAACATCCTAAGGGATACAATTCAAGCCTACTCAGAATATTTCACGATCATAATGTATATAGTTTTTCGCCTTAACTGTCTTTAGTGTAGGGAGTTTTATTTTGTGAACCGTTCTAATTCCAAAAATGGCGCACTGATCGGAAAATCCAACCAAAATTACACAGGAATAAAGGCTGATAGTTTCTTTT